CAAATTTTTATAATATTAATTAATTAATTCTCATATGTATAAAAAATTCAAATTTTTATAATATTAATTAATTAATTCTCATATGTATAAAAAATAATTTAATATGATGAAAATAATAATATTAAGATTAGTAAAATTTTATTGTATCTCCATATATGATGACAATACACGCACAAGATGATCATCAAGGGACTGACTCCATTTACCAAATATATATATATATATATATATCAAGGGACTGACTCCAAACGGAAGGGACTCAAAAGAAAAATCATTGCTGTTGCCTCATTCGGAGACATTATTCATATTGTTGCTTCATGACAGCTAAAGCAGCCATTTTTATAGTTCAGTTTCTCTTACACACTACTATAGACGTATGCACAATCACTATTAGTTCTTGCTCGGAGTGTAGAGCCATACTGGTCTTCCATTCAGTGCTTGTGTTGGTCTCGCATTTGCCTCATATCCCTGAAAAATGGATGGAATCAACATCAAATTCCAAGTAAATTTCATCTCACAGAATGTGTTAACAAATTATAGGAGAAATTCATCCCGGTTTATAAGAAAAGTTTCTTTCAGTCCTTCTGGACTAGGAAAAAAAAAAAAAATCAAACAAGCACAGCTTTTGGACGTGCATGTGGGGCTGCATCCAAAGGCATGCATCGACATCCAAATTCAGAATAACATACCACAACCACTTGTAAGAAGCACTTACATCATCAACAGCATCCCTTAATGCTTGTACTTGCTCTCTTGAGGCTGTCCTCACCTACAAAAGACAACATATCAACATGTTTAGGAAAACCATCAATGGAGAAAAGAAAATGGTTAAGGGACAAGGAAGTTGGTAAAAGGCTAAAAGGACCTTCTTGAAAATTGTCCAAACAACACCTTCGGTGCAGGGAGGAGTTGTAAGTGAACCATTGTATCTGTAATACTCTCTGCTTCCAAACATGATTTCTTCTGGGTTAACAATACCTATTGGTCTCTCATTTTTTCCAAGTGTTATAATGTGAGGAAGCAGCTGCCCAAAAGACCAAGAAAGAACAATCAAGGGAAAGAAAAGTAGGGAATAAAAAACCAATAGATGCACATGGTACAAGAGGCAGAAGAAGGAGTATGGCAAAAATATGGTAAAAGCTCGCAACTGCATGTGGGTAAAATTTTTATGTGTCATGTTTTTTCTCCATTTTTAAGCCACAAGTTCTAATGTAGTCTTTGGAGATACATATATATGAATGCGTATATATGCTCATACATAATGTGGTTGCATACGTGTATCAATTATGAAAGGGTACACATGCATGTACTTAGAAGTAACCATGGTAAAACAAAAAGTTCAATACCCTTGAAAGAAAGGGGTCAGGGAGGCCATATTTGTAGACAATTCCGATAACTGCATTCTTTCCTGAGGCACTTTGATGAACAATGTGAATTTCCAACTCGAGCCTGTAAACGAAGGTAATCGGCAAAAGGATGAGTTAGAATTAGTCTTGCATGCTTCTGAGTGAGTTAGAAATTCAGTGCAAGTCATCAGTTAATGTTTTGGAATGGCAGACACAAGGAGAATCATCCATACTTCTAGGTGTAACAAATACTAAACCAAATCACAAAGACACAAAGGATGTACCTAGATCCGTTGAATGTGTGCTCTGAGGGTGAATGCCAATGACACTGAATCACCTTATAATCAGTTTCATTTATAATGATTTTTCCTGCATCCTCTTCCCACGACACCTGATGCACAATTGATCATAGATTGGTAAACAGAAAGTAACATCTGACTTTGCAATGATGGTTAAGAAACAAGAAATAGAAGCAATAGAGAATAGAACTTAACTGAAATATCGTATCCCCTATTCTTCAGAACAGCTGGAGCTGCATTGTAGTCCCTCTTTAATTCCCCTAAATTAGACGTAACCTGTACTCTTCCATCCAGAAGGTCAATAGGAGACTGCAATTTTCCAGTATTGCAAACTTTCCAATCTGGCCTGATGTTGCCCCATTCACTTGGCCCTTTACCAGTCCCTTCAATGTAACCAAATGGAATTTCATCCCCTGTCAAATCTGAGCCCCATAGAAAAAGAAGACTGTCAAATTTATTGCATGAGAAATTAGTAAAGGAATAACTTGTTAAAAGAGGTCAATCATCATCTCAAACATCTTGGTAAACAGAAAGAAAATATTTCTATATTCACAGAATGTGCTGGGAATAAATTTACCAAATACTATGGATGATCAAGAAAGAAAGAGTGAGAATCTAAGGAAATCCAAGAAAAAAAAAAAGTGAGAGAAAACACCGTAAAAATATGCTTTACTCAAAGTAATCAGCATGTTAGAACATAGAAAGTAAAGAAGCTTGCTTTTCTTCTTTAATTGTGGAACATGATAAGGAATCCAGATATAAGAAAGACTAGTCATACTGACATGATTGGCCGAAAGTTTGATCACCATGATCTGCATTGGAGATATATTTGCTAACTAAGGACTCCACTCAAGGACACACAGTCTACTTGATCCTAGCTAGAACAGATGGAGACAAATGTCCGCCAGCATCAAAATTGTTACTGTGAATGTGTTGACACTTCAACAAGTACTAACCAATGAGCAGTTCTCTCAATGGAGTAAAAAATACATACAAGACTCACATACTATTAAATTGAATGCATGTTTAAGAAAATGGTGTTCTTCTTTGCGGTCAGTGTTCTGCATTCTGGAGCAGTTCAGACTCCAGACCGCAAAAGATGGGCTATCAAATGAGAGACCTGCTCCTGATGCGGTTTAAACTACATAACATTTTTTCGTTCTTTTATACTAGATAAAAAAACACTCTTCTTTATCTGCATATTTTGTAGTTTGTACTTACAGAATCAGAAAATCCGGTGAAAAAAATTCCAGTCCATACCGGACATATGGAAAATACCCTTCATATCCTTCAGTTTTGGTGTTTTGTTGAGGGATGTTTTTGTGAATTTCTGTCTAAATGGGCAGTTCAGACAGAAAACAACATTTCTCTTGTATTTATATCCACATGTGTAATCTTTGATTTCATAAATAAAATGAGAAAATAATCCAAGGTTTCACTTGACAATCCCTTTTAAATATCCATTTCACCGTATCATTTTATTTAAAAATATAAATATATAATTCTTAATTAATTTCAATAAAATTTTTTTATACTTTTATTAACACATGTACATATATATAGGATGGTAAAGGGCAAAAAAAAAACTACAGCGACAAAACACAACACAGAAGTCAACGAAAGTCCAGCAAAATATCAGCTGCTACTGTTACTAGCAGGATGTGATGATCAAGATGTTAAGAAAAAGGGGGGAATAGATATTGTTAAAATGAGATTTTACCTATAATTGTTTTGGGTAGATAAAAT